ATAAATCCTGCTTTCTCAAAAAAGAAAGAAAGAAAAAAAAAATATATATATATATAGGAATAGAGAGGCTGAAGGTGTTACTTTATATAGGGAAGAGTGACTACAAGCATATGGTATATTCAAGTTGACATTTGATAAATGCTTTTTGAATAGGTGTATTTAAATTAGATATCTTGTAGAAATACAGTGTCATTTATTTATTTATTTTTATTTTTTGAGTTGGAGTCTCACTCTCTTGCCCAGACTGGAGTGCAGTGGCCGCTCCTGGCCACCGCAGCCTCGAAATGCTGGGCTCCAGTGATCCTTCCGCCTCAGCCTTCCATGTAGCTGGAACTACAGGCGTGCGCTACCACGTCCGGCTAATTTTTTTTTATTTATTGTAGAGATGAGATCTCGCCAAGTTGCCCAGGTGGGTCTTGAACCTGCAGGCTCAGGCAATCCACTCACCTCTATAAGCCTCCCAAAGGCGCGGGATTACAGGCTGAGCCACCGAGCCCGGCTTATAGTGTCATTTAAAATATTAACATTCAACAACTATTTATTGATTGCTTATTGTGTACCAGGTATTTTCAAATGTATTATTTCATTTTATAACTTTTTAAATCCTACCCAGATCTGTAGAAAAATATCAGCCCCATTTAAAAATTGAGGAAACTGAGGTTCAGAGAGGTTATTCAGCTTGCCTCAGGTCAAACAGCAGATCCAAGAGTTTCTGACCTCCAGCCCCCTGCTCCTTCTGGTCTTTTCTCAGGAGTGTTACTGTGGCCGCGTCCATCCAGCCCTGTGAGTGCACTCCTGATAACAAATCCAATGCTCATAGCAGCATGCCAGCAACTGTTGTTTAGTAAAATCCAGAAGAGGTATGGAAATGTAAGAGTTTGAAGATCCTGGAGAAGGGGACACTACTTCGCCAAAACTTACATGTCTTCTTAAGTTAATGTAAATGACCTCAGACATGTAGGCTCTGACCTTTCAACTACACAATTCCATATAAAGGTACTCAGCTACTTTTCCCTTAAATATTTCCAGAGTCGGCTGGGTCTGGAAAATTTAATCCCAGCACTTTGGGAGGCTGAGGCAAGAGGATTGCCTGAGTTCAGGGGTTCGAGATCAGCCTGGGCAAATTGATGAGATCTTGTCTCTACAATATATCAAAAAATTAGCCAGGCATGGTAGCATGCATCTGTAGTTCTGGCTACTTGAAAGGCTGAGGTGGAAGGATGCCTGAGCCCAGCAGGTTGACGTTTGGGGTAGCCGCGAGCATGCCACTGCACTCCAGCCTGGACAACAGAGTGAGACTCTGACTCAAAAAAAAAAAAAAAAAAAAAAAATTCCTGAGCCAATTCATACCGTCACAAGTAAAAATAATTAATTATTAAATGTTAGGAGTTAAAAGGAGAAAGAAAGAAAATGATGAGGTGACAAGAGATCTTACAAATGAAGGTCATTTAAATCTCTTGGAAGATATCAGTTATTTAAGAAGGATATGCTGCTTTTGCCACACATAATAAGTTAATCTTAAAAAGGCATTTATCCCTGCTGATGTTACAGTTTTTATACAGACTAGTTTAATGAACTGGATGTCATTTTAATGTGTAGATTTTGGTAAGCTATGTTAATCAGGAATTCTAATTACTTAATTAATTTGAAATGACACCATTCTAAACTATCAAGTCTGTTCCGCTGCATTTTATTTGCTGGTAAGATTGTTCAACTTTAAGGTTTAAAGCCAAGAAGTCTTCAAATTTACATATCTGGTTAGGCTGTTTTATTTCCCATTATCTAAAGAATGATATTGACACTATATTTTATGACTTGTTCAAGTCAGTTTTAACAAGTATTTGTAGTGTTCTGTTCCCTTGAAGTGTTATCCAAATATAATACTCGTGTGCACAGAACTACATGTACCAATTAACACTATGATCTTTTAGTTATGAAGAAAATAGCCTACAGAGCCTTATAAATAGAAATATCAAACTCTTATTTAAACATCCATTTATTTTCCTTTTTCTCTGCTTTTGGAATAACATATTTTCATCCTTCTTAATTAACAAGTAGTTGAGTTTAATCCAGAGAATCTTAAAGCAAAATAGAGTCAATCCAGTGCCAGCTAAAGTTAACAATCTACCCAGTGACCTTTAAAGAGACCAACAACAACTGCTGAGTTATGACTCCGTTTAACTAAAAGTCCGACTTTTAAAAATGTATTTATTCTTAGTAAGCCATTTCACAAAGAATAGCAGGCAGGAAATATGAAGGGAGATACCTAAAAAATTCACTTTGTCACTGTTTCTTTGGCTTAGGAGTTCTTACCACTCTTTCTTGAGGTTTCAAAGTCAAGCCTCTGCCTTCATGGAGCTAACGATCTTTGAGGGACAAATTATGGCCGCTTATGAAAAGTGAAATAAGAACACAGGATATAGGATACAGTGGAATATGAGTGGCTGAATGGCACAGGTGCTTAAGGATATTTGGAGCTCAAAAAAGGGAACGGTCAGAGAGAGCTGCAGTTTCAAGAAAACTTACTTTTAGACTACAATTCCAAAGACTAGGTTTGGTGACTTAGAATTTCAGGAATGATTGTCATTACAAAGAGGGCTGGGTGGGCAAAGAAAAGACGCTGGAATCCTGAATTCCTTTTAGAATGTCAACAGTTATGAAATGGGTCTTGCTTTGTTTCTGCTATTTTAACATTTTAAGAGAGGGAGTTTCTCACTGAAAAGTTATCTGAAAGACTGTCTTTTGAGTTACCCAGGTTTTTACCTGCTGCTGTTTGAATCCAGAGTGCTGTCTGATTGGCAGCTGGACGCTTCAGCTCCAAAACTGCTTTGAAGATTCAGATACTCTTGCTTCCAGAAGATAGCAATTTTGTCTTTCTTTGCCAGTCCCACTCGTTAATCAGTCTCAACTTGAGCTTACTTTCATAAACAAAACTCTGTGCTAGGTACTAGATAGAGAGGGGCTGTGGAGCTGATGATCCCTACAGCTGACTAGTCTTTACTAACTAGAACACCAAATCAGACTGAAGTAAGTGCTCTAAAAGTGTCATAAACAAAGTGTTGAGGGGGAAATGAATTCTGTGCAGGGGTCAAAAAAGGACTCAGAGGAGGCGACAATTCAGAGGACACTAAAGAAAGACATTTTTGCTAGCTAGGGAAGGAAAGAGTGCACAATCGGCAGAGGGCGCAGGAGAGCAGGGGTGCTGTGGGGGAGGATTGTGCAAGGAGGGGTGGCTGATAGACAGTGGCTGAACGCAAGTCAGGGTAAGAAGGGACATGATCCATACAATGTATCAAAAAGCTACAACTATTTGCATTTCTGGATGCACAAAAAGAGATAACTGGAAGAAGCATCCATTGACCGCCACTGTGTGTCCAGCTCCATGCTAGGCATTATAGAAGATAGAAGGGAAGGCCCTTGCCCTGGGAATCTTCTAGTTTATTCTCTATTGGGAAGAAAGAGTAACTCACATGAAATAATTAAAACGAATACACCAGCCTCTAAGGAAAAGTGTTAGATTGCCAGAAACCTAAATGGGGAGTGATCCTGCTGTCCTGGAATTCCTCATAGGATACAGGAGAAAGGTTGGTGGCTTGGGTCTCCACCTCAGAATCAGGAAAAAAGGCAATGGCTAACCCTTGTGGGGCACTTACTGTGTACTGGGCATTGTTCTAGGAGCGTACATGGATTAAGTAATTGAATCTTCATAACTACCCTGTTTGGGAGAAACGGTTATTATCGCTAGTTTACATGTAAGGAAACCGAGGCACAGAGACAGTCAGCGTTCAAATCCAAGGGATAAAGCTCCAGAGTTGTGCAGCATTTTTCACTTTGGCAACCTCAGTGTCTAGCACAGTAACCGGTGCTGGGTGTTAAAATCAGGGAAAAAAAAGAAGCCAAAAAACCAAACAACAACAAAAAACCTGTTCCTTGAAAATTGCATTTTCAGAATAACACAACTCAAGTTACAATAAAGACTCGAAAGCCCCACGTCTGTCAGGGAGGAGAAATGCACTTTATCTGTACAGCTCCATCTTTTGCCTGGCTCCAAAGGTCAGCAAGAAAATGTTTCTTTTTATTTATATATGTTCTTTCCTTTTGTGACAATTTGGTGTTTCTGAACGCTAGGGGCTCCCGGATTCTCCAGTCGGAGAATAACTTTTCCTTTTAGGTTTTTTTTTTTTTTTTTTTTTGAAGGGGGTGGGGGGAAATATGGCCTTAATTATCCTACGTCTTAGGCAGTTTAAGGAAGGGGCTGTGCTTTCGGAATCCCATCCGAGCCAAGTAAGGAGGTCCCTCTCCCTCCCTCCCCTCCCTCTCTCTTTTTAAAGGACCTCGTGAAATAAAAGTGCAGAAAACAAACCCAGGCGATCACAGCAGCAGCCGCCGCGGCCGCAGCAGCAGCAGCAGCGACGGCCGCAGGAGGCGGCGGTGGAGGCGGAGGAGGAAAGTCAGAGTCGGGCCGGCGCTCGGGAGTCGCAGGACTCCGCGCGGCTCCCATTCATTAAGGACCCGGGCGCGGAGGAAGGCGGCCGGGCGCCCGCGCTGCCCCCTCGCGCGCCCGCCCGCCCGCGCTCCCCGCCGCGCGCCGGCCCCCCGCGCGCCCCGGG